AGACCAGCTTTGTCTGAGAATATGGTATCCCAAAATCCAGTGGCTGACAATAATTTCCCCACAAATTCCCATGTATCTGTGTAGCCATCCATCTATCTATCTATCTATCTATCTAATCTAATCTAATCCAATCTAATCTAATCCAATCCGATCTCATCCAGTCTAGTCTTATCTTATCGTATCTTATACTATCTATCTATCTCTCTAATCTAATCTAATCTGATCCAGTCTAGTCTTATCTTATCTTATCTTATACTAACTATATATCTATCTATCTGTCTATCTATCTATCCATCCATCTATCTTAACTTATACTATCTATCTTAACTTTTACTATATATCTTAACTTATACATCTATCTTAACTTATACTATCTATCTTAATTTATATTATTATCTATCTTAACTTCTACAATCTATCTTGACTTATAACATCTATCTTAATTTATACTATATATCTTAACTTATACTGTCTATCTTAACTTATACTATATATCGTAACTTGTTTTATACTATCTACTATCTATATCGTAATTTCTACTGTATCTCTTAACTTCCACTATCTATCTTAAATGACTATCTATCTTAAGTTATATAAGTTATATATATATATACTATTACTATGCATATTTGGGGGACCCATCCCGCTGTTGTGAAATCCACAACAGGCTCTGCCAAAACCGGAAGTGCTTTGGATGGGCAGAAAAATCTTGACACAATCAGCTGGCAGCTTCCGATTTTATACCCTGCCTCGGCGCTGTAATCACAGGGGCACATAACGGTAACAGGAGTAGCCCTTCAAAGGCCTCCAGTCAACTTGGATAAAGCGAAAGCCGCTGTCAGCTGAAAAATCTGGATATTTTAGGAAAAATGATTTGTACGTAAGGAGAATTGACTCGGAAGGGAACCTGAAATCAGCTTCACCAAAGGTTGGAAACCATCGAAATGTTCATCGAGCTAAAGGCCGATAACACTGAGGAGTAGGACCGAAAGTGCAGGAGAAACCTCTAGTCTTCTGGTCGCTGCCGCTGTATGGCTCCTTTACTTAAACAGTTGAGATCACTTTTCCCACATTTAACAGATTGTTTTGAAGGAAAATTGATGAGAAAGTCGGAATGTACCACCAATCACAAGGGACTTCTACATGTTCCCTCAAATCAACCCATTGACACCCCATGGCTGGGTTTCGGCCTGCTGGCTTGAATGCCTTGCGGACGTGTCCACAACTCACATCGTCCATAGGGTCCGAACTCGATACCTTTGCACCTGCCAAGGGATTCAGCGATTGCTTTGGGAATCCCAGTAGCTATTGGGCTTCCAACAGTGGGATACGCCAAGCAAATCCCCCAATTCATAGAAGGATTTGTAAGGACTTTTTAAGGAGGCTCACAATCTCTCCAATATGAATGATACATACCTGTTGAACGCAAACAGCCCATGGCTGTTTAATCTCTGGATGCCATCGATGGGCCTGCTGCCCATGCCTCTGCAAAGCTCTTTGCATGAGGCCAATGTCTGCTTCTTTCGATGTTCAAAATACGCTTCGGAATTATCCTCAGGGATGCAGGCTGTTATCCAACGTGCAGGTTCTTGAAGGCTCAAGAGGGAGGGAGGGAGGCAGGAAGGGAGGGAGACTCCATGTGGTGCTCCAAGCAACAGATTGTCTTAAAATTAAATTGTCTTCAAATCAAACTAAACTCTATTTTAGTCTATATTGTGTATGCATAATATATAATTATATATATATACAGTATGTTATACATATTTATACATACTGGATATTGCTGGATCATCAATCTGATTTGAATACCAAGCGTCATACCAAAAGTCTCCGCGGCATGCTGCCTCTCCACTACCCACCAGCTCAAAGTCCGAGGGCATGAAGCGAAGGCAAGAATGTCCAGTCACCGGTTTCGTCGCATGGATTCCTTCGTAGGCGAAATGGATCAAACAGCTCTGGACTGCCATGGCTCTAGCCTCTTTACCAGTTTACGATGCTCAGAAAATTCTCACTTCTCTGCAGAGAATATGGTTGGGAAACATCGATATCACTGATATCACAATATGGCATGGATCAAAACCCTGGTACCTGCTGGTTTTCACATGAAAATAGCTCGTACTGATTCATGTTCAGCCCCCGGTAATGCGAAATCATAGGGGTTGACTCAGGTTGACCAGCTTTCTGACCCAGCCAGAACTTGGAACCCGATGATTCTAAGTTCTATACTTACTTTATACTTACTTTAAGTTACTTTTATGATCGGATGTTGATGGCCGACCAGCTGGTCGCCTCCCAGGTGCCTCCGACGTGCGTCCACAGCTCACAACGGCCAAACGGGCCGAGCTCGATGCCTTTGCACACGTCGGAGGCTTTGCGACAGAGCTCCTTGCAGCTACCTCGGGAACTTCGCTGACAAATCCGGGGCTGAAACCGGGTGCGGGTCCGATTCCGGTCTTGCTGATTCTTGGTAGAAAGTTAAACATGTTCAAAACTGCACCAAGTAATCTCAACAGGATTGAGGCGAGATGAGATTTCCAGAGAATTCTCAACAAAAGGTCCAGGCTTGATCACTGGAGTCAGCAAAAGGGAGGGGACAATGTCCTTTCTTGATGCAGGCTGATGAGAAGTGATGGTGTCTCAAAAAAATCATCGATCCGTGTTGGAGATTCCGGAACAGCACGTCGCCTGTCCATACTAGTTGTAGTATAGTGGCTGCTAAACGTCTCGCCACGTCTCGCCACGGGTTTAAGTTTGCAAGCTGGATGCTCGAATTCGCCTCATGCAGTCTGTAGTATTGAGAAGAGCTGTCCTCCGATGTGATCCTTGGAGCACAGAACATCTCGGAGGGACTGGGCCCCTGGGCTATTCACTGCAGACAAGCTATGACAAGCTGCCCCCTGCACGCTTCATCCTCACCCACGAGCTCAAAGTCGAAAGGCACCTCGCCGACTTTATTTATTGTGAAATGCGTGTCGTTGCGGTCGAAATTTACGCCAGATTGATCACTGAAGGTCCTCCAAGAAACAATCACTCTAAACACCCGAACGACAAATTCTCTCCTGACGGATCTCTCCACACAATAGATTCCTCAACATGTTTGATGCATGCCAACTCAACTATCATCATCATTCATCATCTGTTCCATTTGTTTTAAGTCAATTCCATGCCACGCTAAGGACAAACTAAATATATATAGGCGCGCCACGTAGCGAAAGCATTGATAGCCCTCCACTGTAGCTGTGGCTTGGATTCCAGCCTCACGTGTCCAAACCTGTGGCACGGGCAAAAAAAAAGGAGATCGGGAAATTCACAGAAGTTGTCCTTTCGATATTTTTTTTAAGACAGACTTGACTTGGGGGTTTCCATAAATGGGGGTATCCAAAAATTGTTGGTTTATAATGGAAAGTCACATTAAAATGGATGATTTGGGGGTGCTGAAATGAAAGCTGAGAGATCACATTTTGCTCTTGGTCAATGCGTCCTGCGCACAAATCGAGAAGTGTACCTTTGGCATCGCTTGTCTCAAGCCCAGCGGACTCGCCCTTCAGTGGGCTCTGCAGCACATCGATCAGTCCAGGAAAAGGGCGTCTATCGGTGGTGTTCCTGCTTGTTTGTTTCCAGGGTAAATTCAGATAGCAATCCTTTGCTCCTTTCTTCGCATGGTAGCGGAGCCTGTCAATTGAGCAGGTTCCTGTAGCGCAATGGCTTCTCAATCTGCACAGGATGGTATAGACTACAAGTATCCCACCTGGGATCGTTGGCTAGATTACCACCTAAGGGTGGAATTGCGGGCTGATGGCATGAAACAAGAGGAGCTTCCTTTTCTGGGCCCTAGATTAGCGTCAAACCTCTCTGGCCGTGCCTTTGATGCAATTTCCGACATTGATAGGGAAAAACTACGCAAAGAAGAAGGGTGGAAATACCCGTTGGATTTTTTGGCAAAGACCCGCGGCAAGGAAAAAGTGGACCTCCTCGGAGATGCTTTCAATGAATTCTTCGTGAAAAGAGACATCTACCGCAAAGATGGTGAAAAATTTGTCGACTACGAGCCGCGCTTCAAGATGTTGATTCGCAAGCTGGAGAAAGCTCTGAAGGAGTCAGGTTCTCAGGGGCAGATCCCTTCAGAACTGTTTGGATGGTATCTTCTCAACTGTTACATGAGGATGGAGCCTAGCGATGTGGCCAACGTTCGAGGGCGCGCTGAAAGTTATAAACTGGACCATGTGATAGCCACTTCGCAGAAGATGTGGAGTGGCGGCGGTCTTGCGGCTAAAGATCAAGAGTCCAAGATGAAGAAGAAGAATGTGGCATCTCCTGCTCTGCATGTGGATGAACCTTATCATGATGATGGTGAGGTCTTCCAATGTGCTGAAGATGAGGAGGAAGAGATGCTGACCCTTGAGCTCTCTGAGGCAGCAGCCATGTACCAAGAGGCAACGTTCAAAGAAGCTCGCAAGGCTTTGGACCAAGCCAAAACAGCGAGGAGCTTCTACCCCTCCAGCAATCCCAATGCTCCTAGATACAACTCTGGCATGCGAAAAGGGTATGGGACGGCAGGTAGCAGCAATCCTGATGCGAAGAAGGATTGCCTGCGATGTGGCAAAAGAGGTCATATTGCACGCAATTGCCCACAGAAACCCTCGCAACGAAAAGGGTATGGCAAGGGCAAAGTGTCTTTTGCGCAGGATGCTGAGGGAGGAGAAGCCAATTGTGGCTTCATTGGGCATTTCCAAAGCCTTGAGCCGGGAAGCATTTGGCAATCCACTTTGCAACGCCTTTCCATGTGGGCTTTGCAGTCGTAGACAGTGGCGCTTCCGACAATGTCATTTGTGTGGACACCTTGCAAGATCTGGCCAATCTCTATGAGGAAATGGGTTTCACCATCAGTGATGAGTTTGAAATCAACAGGACGATGCACAAGACTTTCATCTACGGAGGTGATCATAGCAGCCAAGCAATTGGCCTCGCACATCTCACTGTGGGGATCCTCGGCACGGAGATTGTGCTGGATGTTCTCATTGATGATGGAGGAACGCCTCTGCTGCTGAGTGCAAAGTTTTTGTATGATGCCAAAGCCAAGATTGACTTTCGGACAGGTGAGGCCTCTTTCGGAAATATTCAGTGACCAAAAGTGCATTCGGAAATATCCAGGCAACCATCTTTTGCTCTCCATCACTGCGTTTGGTGGCCGTGTAGCTCAGGCCAATCTTGTGCCGAGCTCTGTCCAAGAAGAGCATGAGGAAGATGATGCCCTGAAATCAAGTGAGCCGAACGCCAGCGAGACGCCAAAAGAAAGCACTACTGTGCAGAGTGTACAGAAGGGCGAGTCACGCGTTTAGGGACAGCTTCACCAAGACTCAAATGGACAGTCTAGGAGTAATCTTAGATTGAAGGTCTTGAGTGGACATACAACTGAAGTTTTTGAATCAACTGTGACCATCAGTGACAACCCACTTGATGATTTGAATGGTGATCATGACGTTTTGGTGGAGCCCCTTGAAGTTCGAGACTCTAGTCCTGATCTTTCAAAGGATGGGGAAGCGGGCCTTTTTGGATCCTCTCCATGATGAGATGATTCATGCGGTAGATTCCCTTTGACAACTTTCCTGCGTTCGAACTTTGGATTTGTTAGAAGTGTGCGCACCATGGGATGCCCCTCTCACACAAACTGTCCGGGAATTCGGAGGCAAAGCTATGAGCATTGGGGTTCAAAATGGGTATGATTTGTCTACTCTCAAAGGTTTTCAAGCTGCAGCTCATCTGATTTGCACTTGTAGACCCAGGTATCTTCATCTTAGCTCTCCTTATGATCCCTGGACTGCCATTCAGACTTGTAACCAGAGGAATCTTGAGCAAGTGCATCGACTTCAGGAACGACGTCAGGTCAATAAGAAACTACTACGGAACTTGAGAAGGCTTGTGGAAATTCAGGTAGTTTGAACTGAACAGACTAGAGGACCTGAAGTCGTTTCCATCTCCAACAACATGCAGGTGGGGAACATCCGCTTCATGCCCAGAGCTGGGAAACTCCATATGAAGGTTATGGTTTGGTTGTGCGGTGGTCGTTTTTTTTTGTTCATGGTTGCCAACATGGTTTATTCAGTAAACATGGGGATTTACTGTTGAAACCTTGGGGTTGGTTTAGTACGCACATAGGAGTGAGGAAAGCTTTGGAAAGAAAATGTAGTCATGGAGCTGGGGCCCATACATCCATCCATGGGGATCTCACGTCAGCCACCGCGGTCTATCCTCGTTTGCTGTGTCGCCATTTTGCCAAAGTGTTGTTGGAAGATGTCAAAGTTTTGTACAGTTGGTTTTCTCAGCAGCATAGACCGGTTCGATGTGAATTTGATGCAAATTTTGAAAATGCCATTTTGGCAAACGAAGCTATGGATGCCATTCAGGAGGCAGTTCAACCCGAAGCAGCGCCCCAAGATGAGGCTGCACCTCGCGCTGAGGAACCTGATCCCGGTAAAATAAGAGACATCAAAGATAAACTCAAAACCATTTATCAAAATCTGGGCCATCCTGGCCAGGAGGCCTTCCTCAGGATGTTGCGAGATGCAGGGGGCACTAAAGCCGTCATGGATGTGGCTCAAACCTTTTCTTGTCCGGAATGTCTCCAAAGAGGCAGGAGGACCATCACCCGACCGGCAATTGTCCCCAAAGCATACCAGAAATGGGAATGTTTAAGCATTGATACGTTTTGGTGGCGAACCCGGAAAGAAGCTTTGAAACCGGGGGAAAACCCAAAACACATCATTGGGCTTAGTATGATGGATGACGCTACGGATTTTCAAACGGCGGTTATTATCCGAATGGGAAATGAACCTCTTAGGAATATTTCTGCTGATGAGTTTCAAAAGTCTTTATCCCGGGGTTGGTTACAACACTTTCCTGCTCCCTCCATACTTCGCTATGATGAAGACGGTTTTCTGAGAAGTTGGGATAAGATTCCCTGGTTGGAAACTTTTGGTATGAAGTTGGAACCTATTGCTGCTGAGAGTGCCTGGCAAGGCGGTAAGCATAGCAAACATCTCCCAGACCCTCAAAGAACAACTCAACTTGCTGTGTATGGAAATAGGCGACAGTTTTGGGCTTGAGCAATTGTGGGCTTTGGCAGTGAGCGCCAAGAATAACATGCACAATATACGTGGTTATTCTCCTAACCAATGGGCTTTTGGACAAGACTATTCGAGAATCCCATCTTTCTTGGAAAACACCAACAACTTGCCTCATCAGGCTGCCCGAAGCCAGCCTACTTTTGAGGAACAAGTGCAAGCCGAATACAAGGCCAGAAAGCTGTTCTTGCAAGTTGATGCGCAGAAGAGAAACTCCAAGGCACTGCACGCAAAAAGCAGGCCGCTCGGGAATTTTGCCTGGGGGAATTGGCTTACTATTTCAGAAAGGGTCCCCAAAGAAGGCAGTCGTTATGGTGGTCATTGGTACGGTCCAGCACGCGTCCTCACGCACGAAAAGACAGGAGATTTTGAAGAGGGTCAACATTGGGTTCTGTTGTCTGGGTAGCCCACGCAGGGAAAATTATTCGTTGCTCACCTGAACAGCTGCGATTATGTGCTCATGACTTGAGACACCTTGATCTTGAAATTAACGGCCCTCAGAACATTCATTCCATGTTGGAACAAGTGTCACGACAACAGAAGTATTTGGATATTTCCAAAGAAGATGTTAGTGACATCCTGCGTGAACCATGTCCTGAGTCTGAGAAACCTCATTTCCGCGCTTTTGGTAAAACACCTCTCGAGCACTTGCAGCGAGCCCCCATCCGTGTTGATCCTAGTGTTGCGCGCAATGGCTCAGACCAAGATATCCCTCAAGGACCTCATGGCCTTGAAGAGTCAGAAGATCCACGATTACTCGCAGACCAGCATCGAAGAGTTGGGCCAGATCAAGGTAGCAGTGGGCCGGAAGTACAAAGGGGTGAGCTTTGCAGAGATCTATCTGGACGACAGCTACAACAAATGGGTCGCCGACCATGTGAAAGAGAATCCATGGAGTCCTCAGGGAGTGGAACTCTACGCCCATTACCTACGCCGTCGTCTCGAGATGGAAGGATCAAGTGGGTTTGAGCAAGCCAATCGCAAAAGACCCTCCTCCACAAGCGTCGAAACGCACCAAAGAGAGCATGGCCGCTTCGAGCACCGGCCACCAGATTCCAGTACCCGAGAGTCCCTTCGAGGACAAGATGGGCAGCTGGTCTCAGATGACCGAAATGGAGGAGAACATGACACAGATGAAAGATCGGATGCTCACTCTGGAATCCATGGTGGGTCAGGTCCTTCAGTACCTGCAGCATCCCCAGCAAGCAGCACTCGCAGATCCACAAGGAGCAAGTCCCCAAGACCCATAAGGAGCTCTCCTGAGGGTAATGCGCTGTTCTATCAAACAGACTACACATGTGTCTAGCACAGTGGAACCTTTGCAGGATGTCGTTGAATTTGAACTGCACATAGCACCTTGTGATGTCGACAGAAAAGGTAAAGCTTGGGTTGTCAACTCCAAAGTCAAGAAGAATGCTGAGGTGTGTATTCGTAAACCCCACCGAGATGAACAAGTTGAATTTGAACAAGCCATGAAAAAGGAGGTTGATTCGTTTGTTTCTCAAGATGCGGTTCAAATTTGTTCTAAGGGGCTAGATCCTAGTAGGGTGGTGCAAATGAGATTGGTGCATATTTGGAAACCTTTGCTCAATGATTCTGGGGTTCAAGAAGGTCGAAAGGCAAAGGCAAGGTTAATCATCAAAGGGTTTCAAGATCCTCGTTTAACGCATTTGCCTAGGGAAAGTCCCACTTTGGCTACTTTGGGGAGAAACATGTTGCTCACTCAGTGTGCTCGGCGACAATTCCAATTGAGCTCGGGGGACATATCTACTGCCTTTCTTCAAGGGAATCAATTAACGAAGATATTTTTGGGGGCCCACCTCCTGAAGTTCGTAAGATGTTGAACATGAAAGAGCATGAAATTCTTCGTATCACCAAAGCCATTTATGGAGTCTTTCTCTTCTTTTCTTGTTGAAGATGGTTGGACCCCCCATGGTTTGGATAAATGTTTTTACAAATGGGTCGAAGATGGTGTTATTCAGGTTGTTTTGGGGATACACGTGGGTGATGTCTTTTGTGGAGGAAAAGGCAAATTCTATGAATCAGCCCTCGAACGGCCTCAAAATCGTTTCTCTTTTGGGTCTTGGTCGAATGCCCAAGAAACCACCATCACATATTGCGGTATGGAAATCGCTCAGAAGTCTGATGGTAGTTTGTTTCTTTGCCACGAACGTTTTGCCTTAGGCATTGACGAAGTTGTTTTGACACAGGAAAGGAAAGGCGACACACTGGCAGAAACAACTACAGAAGAGAAGCGAAGAATGCGACAAACTCTGGGGTCTTTGAGTTGGAGAGCCACGCAGAGTGCGTCATGGTTACTGGCACCGGTTTCCCTCTTGCAAGAGGCTGTTGAATCTGGAAGAGCATGTGATGTTTCAGCTGTGAACAAATTGGTTCGTTTACAAAGAAAATATTTTGATCGTGGTCTGTATTTTCCTTGTTTGAATGGTGATGTTACTGTTGTTACTTTCACTGACGCTTCATGGGCCACCAGGGTTGACGGTTCTTCACAGGGAGGTCAAATTACGATTTTGGCCCCCAAAGGCATTCTCAACGGTGAAAAGACTCCTTTCTGCGTTTTGGTCGGTCAAGCAGAAGGTTGAAAAGAGTCGCGAGATCCAGTACCAGTGCGGAAGCGCAAATGTGTGCCAACGCTTTGGACTTCCATGAGTTCTCTAAACTTGGGTGGATTGATCTCCAGGAACCAACTAAAGTGGATCTCCGAGTTGCTGATGAATATTTGCGTACCTTTGAAAGTGGACTTATTGTTGATGCCCGAAATATTTATGATGGCCTTTCCAGGGTAGAGAGTTCAGGGTTGCAAATGGAAGAGAAAAGGACAGCCATCGGGTTGTTGGCTATCAAAGAAAGGCTACACCAAGCAGCTGTTGACCTTAAATGGGTGGACGGCGAGCAAGAACATGCGGACGGTCTAACTAAATCTGGTTGTCATGAACCCCTTTTGAAAGCTCTCTATCAATCGACCCGAATTTCCTGTCTGCTAGAAAGAAAAGGGCTCAGAGATACCAACTTTGTGTTGATGAACATTGGTTGCACCGTCTATGGTCAGTGGACACAAGAGCAACATAAAATTGTGACCGATGCTGAAATGAAAGCTGAGAAATCACATCTTGCTCTTGGTCAATGCATCCTGCGCACAAATCGAGAAGTGTACCTTTGGCATCGCTTGTCTCAAGCCCAGCAGACTCGCCCTTCAGTGGGCTCTGCAGCACATCGATCAGTCCAGAAAAGGGCGTCTATCGGTGGTGCTCCTGCTTGTTTGTTTACAGGGTAAATTCAGATAGCAATCCTTTGCTCCTTGCTTCGCGGGGTACCCCTATTTCAGGAAACCACCACTTGGAGGTCTCTGAAGACAAAACCAAATCATGCGAAGCGCACCTCACATCGACCATAAGGGCCAAACTCGACACCCTTGCAACCAGGAGTGTCGCGACAGATCTGTTTGCACCCACCTGGGGCAGTGCACCCACGGTTTTGCTATCTTTCAGTGCTCTGCTGCATATATGTTGATACCGATAGAAATGGACGGGAACGTGAAATGAATCCAAAAATGGCGTATACAAGGAATATATATATATTGCACACATACACAAACAAAGAAAAATGTGCTTATCTGACACCACTCATGCCCCACACATTTAACCAGAAGAAGCTGCGCAGTACACACCATTCATTCAAGCTGCCGATATGTGGTGATTGCAAACCTATGACTATCAAACATGCAATTGGTTAGGTATATATACATCCAAACACCTGTGGAGTGTGAAACAACAAGTAATTCTCAAGACTTCTTGGGGAAGTTGCTTTCTTGCACACTGGATTGGCTCGTAGACAGTCAATCAGTCAATTCGTTGTCTGCAAAACCATCCAATCAACCAAAAGGCAGATCTCATACAACGTCAACACCAGTCTTCACTTTTGCTAGACCAAGTGGCTCAAACTGACTCTGTTGTGCAGGGTGTAGTAATCCTCCTTGCTATCTCCCGGACCAGAGCCCCTACACGCCTCACACCGTGACGGCCATGACTGGACCAAAGACCCACATCTCGGGTCTGAGAAAAACAGAAATAACGTAGAAGAACCACAGACAGTAGACCGATCATAATTCATCACCAGTGCTGCTATTTTCACCTCTGGCATTGCAAACATCCCATCTCTGCCTGGTTCTCAGCACCCATCTGCTGAAAGTCGGGCGCTTGCGGGCACAGTGTGATGTTGTACCCAGCACGATTCGGGATGCTTCCATCATGTTGGCTCTCCGCCGTGCGACAGGTGAAGGTGCTCGTCTCATCATCAAATGCCTCGGCGCTCGGAGGCCTTTGGAGGCTGCGGTTGGTAAACTTGGAAATGATACGCAAAAAATTGTCCCAGCCAACAAATTGGATTACAATATCAATATGAACTAGACTTGCTGGGATTTATGGGAGGAGAAATGAGACCAGTATGTCTATATTTATAGTATATATTCTAGCGCCTGATTAGGTATGCAGCTCTTCATGTTTCACCACGTTTCACCATCTCCTTTACATCTCCTTTGCCAAGCTACATACGTGTATGATGTGGGACAACCAGCCTGGCAAAAAAAAGAACTCGAACCAACTGGCAACTGGGCAGCGAAGATCCGTCAGATCAGTCCTTGAGAATCTGGTAGAAAGGCAATGCTTTCTGCATCCATTCGGGGCTTGCACCCAGACATCCTGTGCGCAGATGAAGCTCTTCTTCAATGAAGAAAAATCAACCAATCATCAGCTGTGAATGCAAAGGACACCCTCTCCTGAACCTCCTTCCGGCACAGGAACTTTCAGGGCAGATGTCCAGTTGGCACAACCACAACACTCACCATTCTCTGGCACCTTGGAGTTCGACATCGCCAGGTAGGCAACTCCCTATAATAACCAATCAACCAGGGTATCTTTAATAGTTCATCTTGCCAAATTTGGCATAGTCGCGATCTCAACAAGTCTAACACGCTCAAATCATACCAAATGTTGAGCCGATGTCTGACATGGTGTCAAAGTTTCCTATCATTTCCCGTGAAATCACGGGGCCACTATGCCACATAATGAGGTTAATTCTATAATAAACCAACCTAGATTTTGGTCTGCCCCTATTTCGGATAATGAAACATGACCCACAATTGGTTGGACGCTGGGATGGTTAATTATTGGGTATCCCTCAGTACCCAAGTGGTTGAACCCACATGTATATTGAGTCCTATCTATATATGGGATTGCTGCAAACCTATTTACCCCCACTTGCGATGGTTTAATACTAAACATTACAATGACATACCATGATGAATCTTGTGGGTCCCTGAATACCCGACTCTTGAACCATAGCCATATTCCCTTCATGACAAGCTAACCCGTGCACTGCCAGGACACATTGTGGCCGTAGCAGGTTGTAGTCCAAGGCTGAAAGCCCGCACCTGGCGGCGTGAGGATCGGGGGAATTGAGAACAAGTTTTTTTGCAGTATCCCAATATCTCCCAATATTATCCCAATATATCCCAGTATATCCCAATGGTATCCCAGTGCCCAGTGCAGAATTGGGTCTCTTTCTGAAGAAACTTCGGAGATCCGACCTAATCCAAGGTCGTCAGAGACAAGGCGCAAGCGAACATATCGTGCATGCTGGGGCAGTCAATGAGACCCTCATAGGGCGGTGGACTACGGTAGCTGTTGCCACTCCAAACACAAAGTTGATATGCCGACCAACTGCCAATGTAGTGACCACACCTCGGAGCCCACTGGAACCCTACAGCGAAAGCGGTCTGGGATGTAGCTGAAAGTTTTGGGTTTGGCTTGAAAACCCTGGAGGATGTGAAGTATATGGTATTGTCGGTTTGTCCAAAAATAGTGTACCCCAAAATCCCATGGTGTACCATCATGTTCCCGACACGGCCAATTTGGGGTCTAAACCCATCTCTGGACGTCTGGACAGTCCCATATCCATCATTTCATTCATGGGTTCAATCATATTAAATCCCTATGTCTGATGTTTGAATCGCTATGTTTGATTGTTAGAACTCCCATTCTTATGGTTGAATGTATGTATGTATGTACGTACGTACGTACGTATGTATGTATGTATGTGTATATATATATATATCTCCTGGCCCCCGCAAGATCCACCTGGGTGTGTTTTGCCAGATGGTTGAGATACATGTTGTTTGAGTTCGACGTTCAAACACAGGCGCATTGACATGGGGCGATTTGACTTTTGGGCTAGGAACAGCTAGCAGAAGCAAAAAGTTCAAAGATTTCTTCATCGCCCTGCAGCAGCAGTTTCCCCATCATGCTGGCTGTATAGTGGAGGACATGAACCACTGGACCAGCTTTCCTGTGCTGATCCAGAGGTCTTGGCGACACCAGTACTCGTACTGTCCTGAAAGAAGCTTCGTCTTCAGCATGCGGTTCCCTACCCGGCACGCTTGGTTGATGTGCAATCGTTCCTTCAAAAATCACCAGCACCTGTCAATGATTTGGGTGCCAAATTTGGCTTTCATGATCTTTTTACGGGCACTTTGTGACATTTAATCATTATGTACTTGTGAGCAATCCAATGGAACTTCGTTCCGACTTTGATGCGTTGTTTTTCCTGAATCACTCGGTCATGATGAACTCCCAGGACGGTGGCCTTGTAGGACTTGGCGGAGTCGGTGTGCAGAATGAAGTTGCGACCTGCAAGCCATTTTTTCACGAGGGCTTGCCACTCTACCTTTCGCACTGCACCAGGGCCAGGCCCTCAGTTCCGCAGGCACTGGCTTCAAGTGATGGAGTACCAAGGTTGATGGCAATGATCCCACACCATTTCCCATTACACTTTGTCATTCATCACCTTCCGATCAAAGGTGGCTTTGTCAGCCTCCACTTCTGGCCTTGCCCGAAGCAAATTTTCTTCTCCTCATCCAGGACCCAAGCTTCACGAAGTTGGCAAAGGCGGGTGTCCATGTTCTCAATGGCTTTGTGATTGCCATGGATAAGACGATGTATGGCTGCGTGCGAGACACGATTGAGGAGAAGCAACAGCATAGCGGCCTGTGTATCCAGTGGGGTATAGCTGTTGCCTCTGGCATCGATGGAGAGTGGATGGGCATGGTGTGGGTTGACAAACATTTTTTGGAGCTGCATCGGTGCTTTGGGATGGCGCCTTTCTCTTGTGCTGCAAATTGCCTAAGGTTCCATGTTAGAAGACCATCTGCCCGTAGCATGGCAACCAAAGAGGCTGAAGAGTTCTTGACGAGGTCGGGCAATGCCCTTTTCTATTTGTGTCGATCAGCACGAACGAAGGACGCTGCATTGGGATATTTGTTCTTGACCGAAGCAGGCCTCTTCAGAACTTGCCAAAGTTTTCCTTTGTTAGGCACTCGTGGATTGAATGTGGGCGCCATGATGAAACTATATATGAATGTCCAAGGCATACAATGACGGAACCAAAAAGAAGGAGGTACGCAACAGAATGCAGATACACAAGGATTCGCATCAGGCAGGCTGAGGATGTTTTTGTAAGACATGCAGCTGGTAGGCATGACATTGACACAGCAAAGTTTAGGCAATCCATCTGGGCACCGTGGGTGGTGCTCTGTGGCAAGCTGGCAATCCTTTCTCTCCAAGTCTGACGATGAGGAAGATGAACTAGAAGAAGAAGAATTTTGTACTCGATGGCCAACTGTGCTCTTTTGCTTTTGCACTGGGGGGGTGGTGATTTCTTGTCCTCGATGGGCAACAGCGTGGTCTTCACCAGAACCTTGGGCTTGGCAAGAAAGGAAACTAAACGCCCCTGGGCCTCTTCCGTCCATGCACCGTCTTGGCCGGGCTGGAGCAAGAGTTGCCGCTGGATCGTGTTCATCATGTTGGAGACATGCTGCCCGAGAAGCGGAACTCTGGTTGGATAAAGTGTGTATTCTCCAGTGGTGATCTTGTTGACGACGTCACCGGTAGTTGGGTGGGCCATTGTGACTTTCACCTCCTCCTGGTGACATTGAAAGACGCCATGAGGCACAAGAAAAAAAATACGACTGCTTATTCGTCTGACACTGGAGCACAGAAGGACTGGATATCGAGGATCAGTTCCCAGGTCCTTACCACTTTTGAACACATCAAACTTAAACAGATATCCGTATGTACACGTACCACCTACCCCTTGAATCTAAGAATCCAAGAATCAAGGATTTTCACAGGACTCTGTGGTGAAATCTTGGATGCAGGATTTGGTCTTTGCAGTTGTAGGGCCTTTGCGTACATCCAAGATCATCCAGAAAGTCCCGTGCAAATCTTGGATTGTTAGATTCAAACTAAAGGTTGTACCGCGTATGTACGCGTTTTCCTACCTATCAAGACCTACATTAAGTCCTCGCACAAAAAGCAAAATATTCCAGGTTTGCACAGGACGCTTTGGTGATTGTAGGGGCATTTGTGTACATCCAAGATTCATCGAAAGAGTCCCATGCATATCTTGGATTCTTGGATTATAAGATTCACCCTAAAGGTTGTACCATGTATGTACGCGTATTCCTACGTATCAAGACTTACATACATTAAGCTGTAAATATATTATATAGGTACCCCTCTTGCATCAAAGGACATACAACATGTTTACAAATTTTGTCGGCAAGAGACCCCAAACAGCGCGGAGAAATGGGAGGATAATGTGGGATAATGTTGGTGATGATGGTGATGATGATGATGATGATGATGATGATGATGGCGATGACGATAAGGATGATGATGATGATGATGATGATGATGATGGCGATGACGATAAGGATGATGATGATGATGATGATGATGATGATGATGATGATGGCGATGACGATAAGGATGATGATGATGATGATGATGATGATGATGGTGAAGAAGAAGAAGAAGAAGAGGAAGAAGAAGAAGAAGATAATGATGATGATGATGATGATGACGATGGTTATGGCGATGGTGAGATGAGGATGAGGATGAGGATGAGGATGAGGATGAGGATGAGGATGAGGATGATGAGGATAATGATGATGATGATGATGGTGATGGCGATGGCGATGGCGATGGCGATTGTGAGGACGACCATGGTAATGATGATGAGGATGATGAGGGTGAGGAGGATGATGAGGATGAGGATGAGAATGCGGAAGATGAAGTCGAGGATGATAAGGTGGAGGACGATGATGCAAAGAAGGAGGATGATGACAATGATGAGGAGGAAAATTAATGATAATAATGATGATGAGGAGGATGGTGAGGGCGATGATGATGACGGTGAGGATGGTAAGGATGATGATGACGATGATGATGGTAAGGATGATGATGATGATGATGATGGTGATGATGATGATGATAATGATGATGATGATTTAGACAATGATATAATGATAATGATGATGACGGTGATAGTGATGATGATGATGATGGTGATGATGATGATGATGACGACGACGATGATGATGATGGTGAGGATGATAATGCGGAAGGTGATGCGGAAGATGAAGTGGAGGATTAAAAGGTGGAGGATGTTGATGTCAAGGAAGAGGAAGATGATGATGTTGATGTTGAGGAGTAAAATGATAATGTTGAGGAGGATGATGTTGAGGAGGAAGACCGATCCCAAGACCGGGAAGCACACTTTGCGCGAGCCTGCGCGGGCGAAACGCCTGTCAATATTTCACAAGAGCCCTTTTTATACAGAAATTTACAGAAAAAATGCCGCGCCCCAGAATGAGCCCGAAACGCAGACACACATTTTGTGCGAGTCTGTCAGCCGAAACCTATGTCAAGATTTCACAAGAGCACTTTGTACGGAAATTTACAAGAAAAATACGGCGCCCCCCGGAACGCAGACACACATTTTGTGCGAGACTGCGCAGTCGCTACCAGCCTCACATTTACTAGGTACATGCTACCTTTTAGACGAGCTACGTAGCACACATACTTGCTCAAAGTACCTACGTGCTACCTATAGTCATATATGTGTACTCTCACAATGCTACATGTGTTTAACATATACGGTACCTACCATACATTCCAACGATACCATACATACCATACATACCATACATACCATACATACCATACATACCATACATACCATACATACCATACATACCATACATACCATACATACCATACGAACTTTGACCATACATACCATACCTATCATCCATACGACACATACCATACATATGAAACATAAATACAACACCTGCCATACATACAATACCAAACATACATGCCATACATACCATACCTACCTTACATAGCAAACATTCCATACCCATCATAGTAACCATACATACCATACAGACCATACATACTGTCATATCAAACACACCACACCCAACAGACTTACACACCACACCTTCCATCCATACAGTACCACAACCCCACCACACCACGTGGAGGGGGACAGTACCACACCCACACCACGGGGGGGAGAGCTGACCCATGACAAGGCCACAGGGGGGGTTGGCACGCTGGACAATATATATATATATATATACATACATACATACATATTTTGATTTTTATTTATTTATTTACTTATTTATATGCAAATATATTAATATATATATATAGATTTGTAAATATGTGACTATATGTATATATTTATATATGTAAATATATTTATGTAAATATATATATATATATATATCTTCCTATGTTTGATGGTCAAAATTCCATTGTTAAATCCCTATGTTTGATGGTCGAATTTCCCGTTTTTATGGCTTCCCAGACATCTCGTTGTCCAAAAACTGGTTTGAAACCACCAAGTGGCTCCATCGTGATCTGCGTTGTTGGCCTCGACACCTGGTTCACGGGATCCCAGATAGTCTTCGCCACTTGACCACAAAACTTTGGAGCGGAGATCACCAAATCGAATTTCATGGTAATTTGATGGTAA